TAAGGCTGTAAATCTTTATGGGAGTAAAAAGTCTCATCTTTCTCCTATAGAGCCGCTGGTGGGTTTGAACTGCCAACTTGGTAGTTAGCAGTCCAGTGCTTATCCTACAGCACCATCAGAGCTCCTTACAAAATGTTACTGTTGCCAAGTGCCATCAAGTCGGTTGCCATTTATAGCAACCCAGTAGTTTCCAAGGAGAAACTGGTGAGTTTGAACAGTCAACCTTGCAGTTAGTAGTCCAAATAAACATGCATATGGGCTGTATTCAGGGAATCCCTGGGTGGCACAAACAAGCCCTAGGCTGCTAACTGAAAGGTTCCCAATTCAAACCCAACCACAGGCATCTCAGAGGAAAGGCTTGGTCATCACAGCCAAGAACACTTGAAAAGTGCAGCTCTCCTCTGGAACATATTAGGTCCCCATAAGACAGAATCAATCATATCTGGTTTGGTTTGGGTTTGGGACTATTTGCAGTTCGGGGGCTGCCAATTTGCAATCTTTTACCTAGAGAATTCATTTAAAAATTACTACATCTCTATTTTTGAAGGTTTCAAAAATATTTAACTTATATTTTCAAAATCAAAATCAAACTTACAGAAAACTTTTACGGATACACTCTACACCTGGATTCAATCTTACTCATGTTGGTATCTCTGTGTCCCAACACTGAAATGTTGTTGAATCAATGATTGAATGTCATGTGGAGAAATAAGCAGAGCAAAGCATGTCAAGGTCCAGTTAACCACAGGATGGAATGAATGGTGAAGAAATTGAGAGGAAGGAAATGAACCAGATACAAGGATGGGAGCAAAGTAGAAAAGAAACCAGAACAGACACAGAGACTCTGTGGTATATAAATGTATTTGGCCTGCTGAATGCTTGTTTCATTTTATTGTTGGTTTTTGCTTGACTTATTTTAAGCAATTAAGAGAAACACAAATCACGAGAAGCCCAGATAAACATCACACAACTACAGAAAACACCAAATACGCTGACTGTGTACTTTCAGCAAACCCCAATTCAATCATCACCTGTTTTGCAGTTTGGGATTATTTGGGCAAGCTAGGCTAAATTTCATCTTGGCATTATTAATTCTTTGAGAAAGTTTGCTAAGCAAGTGAACAGTATGAACAGGGGAATGTGGGATATTTGCTGAGAGGAGAGCAGAAGCGAATGAACAGCTTTAAAATCCTCTCTGATTATACTCATGCATTGAACTTTTGTCTAATTACTGTTCTTAGAAAACTGAGTAGAAACATGTTTTGTTTTTTTCCTAAACCACCTCATATTTTCAAAGCACTAGGGAAAATTTGACTACAACACAAAGGGGAATGGTTGCATAGACAAAAGACTCACAGACTGTCATTTACCTTTTTGTAAATTAAAAATGTCAAACACTGGGTGTTCTTTTAAATAAGGTTGGGTTAATTACAAAGATGATTATTTGCTAGAGAGTTAACACCACCCCCCTTCTTCTGTCTACAGTGTAGAAGTGGATTCATTTGCAGATAATGGATTTACAGCTGTCTCCTGTTGTTAAGTGCTATCAAGTTGGTTCAGACTCAGAGCAATCCTATAAGGGGTTTCCGAGGAGCAGCTGGTGGTTGTAAACCGCTGACCTTGTGCTTATCCCACACACCACACCAGGACTCCACAGCTGTCTCATTTGTTGTTGTTAAGTGACTCATAGCGACCCTGTGTAGGATTTCCGAGGAGTGGCTGGTAGGTTTGAACTGCTGACTTTGTGGTTCGCAGTCCAGTGCTGACCCTACAATGTTACACCAGGAGTCCATAGGAGAGGGTCTTTTGTTCGTGTGTTTAAATGCCAGGCTTGGTGTGAAGTCCTTTTGTGCATTCCCTCACTAGATCCATAAAACAAAGCAGGTTTCATCATTATCCCTATTTTACGGACAGAAAAGCTGAGGCCTCGAAAATCTTGGGAGGAAAATGAGGCTTTCAGCTTCTGCTAAAGGTGACAGCCTGGGAAACCCTATACAGGGCTGCCATGATTTGGACCTGGACCTGATTCAACGACACTTAACAACAACTAATGAGTCCAAGTACACAGCTGAGATTCAAATCTTGTATGACTGCCCCAAACTGATGAACACTGCACCATGCTGCACCCCAAAGGCAAAGGCAAATGGGCCGGGAAGGGAACTTGTGAAAGGCTATGTGATTTGGACATGCAGAATAAGCCAAACCATATCCAGTTTGGGGATATATGCTAAAGATTGGAGCTTCTGTGAGTTTGTCGTTGTTATTATGTGCTGTGGAGTGTGAGTTTACGAAATAAATTATCTGTTGAATAAGGACATGCTTGGTTTACCTAGTGGGCTAGAATTACAATTCAGGGTATGTTTCACTTTACTGAATGAATGGGTGCCTATGAAATTATGTGTAAATCAAAGTTATGAAACTCTGAAGATGGGAGTCTTTGAGAGTTAAATCTAATCTTAGGGTAAATACATTCTTAAAGATAATTATTCCCTTTTTTTTTTTTTTTTAAATAAACAGATTCCTCCACTTGGCAACAATGCTCATGGGGGTGATGATGGGCTAACAGTTAGAAATGACAAGGCTGGCTTCCTGGGAACAATCTACAGCACCCTTCTCAAAGAACGTTACAGGGATCCTGGAAGGGGTCTTCAAACCAGAGTCAGCTAGGGGAAAACCATGCATAGAGGGTCACTAAGGGGCTCTGGTAGTGTAGTGGTTACAAATCGGGCTGCTAATCTCACGATCAGCAGTTCAAAACTACCAGCTGTTCCGTGGGAGAAAGATGAGGCTTTCTGTTCCCGTAAAGATTTGCAGTACAGGAAACCCTGTACAGGGTCGCTATGAGTCGGAACCCACTCCACAGCACATAACAACAATACAGGGTTACTATTGGTCGGAACCGACTCGACAGCACTTAACTACAACAATCCTAATATGGTATTTGTTTTTATCACTGTGTGAACATTTGCCCTGATGATGCAAACAGAATAATAGGAAAAACTGTCCCTACCAAGCTGTTGTTCTTGGTAAGTGCTAGTGAATCAGTTCTGACTCATAGTAACCCTTTATAGTGTTTACAGTTGGTGGGTTTGGACTGCTTACCTTGAAGTTAGCAGTCCAGTACTTATCCCACAGAGCCAGTCATTTCTTTGCTGTGGTTTCTGACTAATCACTATGAAACTAACACTTTTAAAAATTTGGTATGATATCAAACAATGTGTACAGTTACCTGAAATAACAATGAGAAGACTCCTCCCAGTTCCCTGTTCATGTATCTGTGTAAAGCTAGACTTTTTCTCATACACTTCTGTCAAATAACATAATACAACAGCGTGGATGCAGAAACAGATATGACACTCTAGCTGTCTTCTCATCAACTGAACATTGAAGGCATTTGCAAAAATATAAAACCATAATTCTTCTATTTTTTTGCTTTATAAGTTATTTTTCATTAAAAGCATTCCAATATAATGTATTTATTATTTTTGTTTGAATTGGCAAGTGAATGCTCTAAGAGTTTTCTGTTTTAATTTCTAATTACAGTAAATGTTGTAGCTAGAACCCATATAAAGTTCTTTTGACATAACACATAAAGAAGTACTGAGTCTACAAAGGTTTGATTACTTTTGTTGTTTCATAGCAACATTACATTGAACTTTCCATAAGGCAAGCTGATACGTGACATTTTATAGTGCCACTGAAGTACAAAAGGAGCTCTGGTAGTGTAGTGGTTACGAATCGGGCTGCGAACCGCAAGGTCAGCAGTTCGAAACTACCAGCCGTTCTATGGGAGAAAGATAAGGCTTTCTGCTCCTGTAAAGATTTACAGCCTCGGAAACCCTGTACAGAGTCGCTATGGGTCAGAACCGACTCGACGGCACTTAAAAACAACTGAAGTACAAAGGGCAAAAATGTCTTTTAATCATGACACATTTTTTCAGAAAAAAATATTTTTCCACACTGTAATAAGTGGGTATCACAGAGGAAAACATTCTCCAGAAATAAGATAATGTTGTAAAATGAGGTATTCGAGTGATGCTGCAGGATAGGCACTGGGCTGCTAACCACAAAGTCGGTGGTTCAAACACACCAGCCGTTCCTTGGAAACCCTATACGTGGTCGCTATGAGTACGAACCAACTCCATGGAACTTAACAATCTTTACAATGGAATCCTGGTGGTTCTGTAGGATAAGCACTGGGCAGCTAACTACTACAAGGGGGCGTGGTGGACTGCAAACCAGAAGGTTGGCGGTTGGAGCCCACCAGCAACTCCACAGGAGAAAGACGAGGTTTTATGCTCTAGCAAAAGATTTAAAGTCTCGAAAACCTTATAGAGGGTCGCTATGAGTTGGAACTTACTCCAGGCACTTAACAACAAAAGCTAACTACAAGTTCGGCCGTACAAACCCACCAGCAACTCCACAGGACAAAGACGAGATTTTCTGCTCTAGCAAAAGATTTAAAGTCTCAAAAAACCCTATAAAGGGTCGCTATGAGTCGGAACCGACTTGACAGCTCTAAACAACAAGATCTTTAGATTGGAGGCCTGGTGGCGCTGTAGGATAAGCACTAGACTGCTAATCACAAGTTTGGTGGTTCAAATCCACCAGCTTCTCCAGGCACAAAAGATCCTCCTTCAAACCTCTATTCCCCTTTTCCACCCTAAAACCCCTTGCTGAGGCCTCGGCCTGTACCAGGTTCCTACACTGCCACAGTTTGACAAAGTGTCCATACCAATATTCCCAGTCTCTTCTCCCAAACTCGTACCACTAAGCCTCCCTTATTTTAAATCATGGACCACTAAGGTCAGGCAATGGTGGTCCAGGGTTCTGTTGTTGTTGTTGTCAGGTGCCATCGAGTCGGAACCGACTCATAGCGACTCCATGCACAGCAGAACGAAACAATGTTCGATCCTGGACCTAGGATTCTGCCCAGGGGGACTTCAGGAGAGATGGGAAAATAACTGCCCAACCTCCCGGAAGGGCCCACGGACACTCACCGTCCATCCCTAGAGGCGGCGGTTCCGGGTACTCGAACCGGAAGCATCTGCTACACTGTTTGCAGTTCCCCTGGTTACTGCGGGGCTCCGGACCAATGGTACTGGAACCCCAGCGACTGAACCCGCCCCCAGAGCGAGTCACGTCAGGCGAACGCGCTGGAGCTTCTCGGATCTTCCGGTCCGACCAGCCTCCCGGGGCTGCAATCGTTGTGCGCATGCGCGTTAGGCCCGAACCCTTGGCAGCGTGGTGCGCAGGCGCCCAAGGCGCCGACGACTCAAGTAGCAATGGACGCTCTGGAGTCGTTGTTGGACGAGGTGGCCTTGGAGGGACTCGATGGATTGAGTCTTCCTGCGCTCTGGAGCCGTCTGGAGACCCGAGCGCCGCCCTTTCCACTGCCTTTGGAGCCCTACACGCAGGAGTTTCTGTGGCAGGCCCTAGCCACGCACCCAGGCATCAGCTTTTATGAGGAACCACGGGAGCGACCCGACCTCCAGCTCCAAGACCGGTCAGCTGCCTGGCCTTGCGCGGTGGGGGACGGGCTCGGAGCCCCGGGTCTGATGGAGCTTCAGGGGACCAAATTCTTCGGGTGGAGGAAGGGCGAAAGGAATAGAGAGCCGGCCGAAGGGGGCGGTGTTCAGCCTGGTCTGGGGTCGGTCAGGCCTGGCAGGGCCCAAGCGCCTTAATGGAGTTGGCGGTGGGGGGGGCGGGAGTTGTGGTCATCTGATGATGCCCCATTACGCCCCTGTGTGTTGACTGGTGCGCTAGACTGGAGACGGGGAGTCTTTCTTCTCCCTGCGGACAGTATTTCCTGTGAGGTGGAGGATCGGTTTAGAGTAGGAGGACAGTTCCGATCAAACCTGGAGACAATCGAGGTCAATAATGGAGCCTGCATTCCGTGCAACCCAAGAAATCTGCACAACAGCAGGCCTTGCAATAATAATAATACCAATAATGTTGTTTTAAATGCCGTCGAGTCGCTTCTGACCCATAGCGACCCTGTACAGGGTTTCCCTAGGAACAGCTGGTGGGTTTGAACGACCGACCTTGTGGTTCGCTGTCCAGTGCTTATCCTATAGCGCCACACCTGGAGTCCATAATAATAATAATAGTTAACATTTGGCAATGGTGGTGTGCCTTGGAGTCGGTTCCGACTCACAGCGACCCTGTGTAGAGTTTCCAAGGCTGTAAATCTTTTAGGGAGCAGAAAGCCTCGTCTTTTTCCGGCGGGGCGGCTGGTCGTTTCGAACTGCTGACCTTGAGGTTAGCAGCCTAACGCTACCACAGCACCTTAGTTAACATTGATTGAGCGCTTACTACTGACCAGGTATCGTGTTAACAACCCTCCTGTTTTAGAACCTTCAGGTAGATGAATTCAATTGACTTTAATGAGAAGAAACTGAGTCACTAAGAAAAGTGAAGTCACCTGGTCAGGGTGTAATAAGTTAATTGAACCCAGGCCTTCTTTCTCTCTAGCCCTGCTCTTAAGCAGTATTGTGAGACTCAGGGGAGGCCCTCAAAGGTACCAAGTATCAAGATGATACCTCAAGGTTGGGTGTAGCTAACCAATTGGCAAAGAGTATTCTGTGTGGAGAAGAATAAATGTGAAAACCTGAGAGAAGAGAAATGTATGTACCTGAAGTGGAACTGAAGGTGGTGGTTATTGGGAAGTGCTGTAGAGTTTGGTTCCAACTCAGAGTTGTTGTTGTTGTTTGTAAGTACCGTGGAGTGGGTTCTGACTCATAGTAACCCTGCATAGGGTTTCCGAGGCTGTAAATCTTTACGGGAGCGGAACGCCTCATCTTTCTCGAAGGTGAAAAAACAGTAGTTGATACTTATGTATGTGAATTGGGCACAGTTCTGAGAGCTTGCGGAAAGCAAGTTACTAAATTTGTACAACAGCCTTAAACTAAATACCTAACCCATCAAGTCGGTTCCAACAAAGCGTGACCCTGTGTACGGTTTCTTAGACAAAAGCTTTATGAGATGGCCTCGTCTTCCTCCTGTGAAACTGCTGGTGGGTTTGAACTGCTGACCTTGCATTAGCAGCCTAATGCCTAACCTGTGCTGCCATGGGTGTTGGGGAACAGATAACTTGCAAATATTAAATTAATTAATCCAATTTACAAATACCCATGTGCAAAAAAAAAAAAAAAAAGAGGTGGGTAGTATTATTTCCATTCTCCTAATGAGAAAATCAAGACCAAGCATAGCAGACATGTTTGTAACTTGCTTAAGGTCATTGACTAGCAGGGGCAGAAGTAGGATTTGAACCAAGGGAGTCTGGGTTGCTAGGAGTATTAATGGGAATAGTTTGCATGTTTCTGTTTTTAGTCTGGGTCCAGAATCCATTCTGCTTTTACATGGATCAGTCCAAATTGGACTATTTGTTATTGTTGTTAAGTGCCATTGAGTTGGTTCTGACTCATAGTGACCCTGTGTAGGGTTTCCAAGGAGTGGCTGATGGGTTTGAACTGCCAATCTTGTGGTTAGCTGTCTAGTTCTTATCCTGTAGTACCACAGCAGGACTCGAAATTGGTCTCCGTTGTTAAGTGCCATCAAGCCAGTTCTGACTCATATTGACCCTGTATAGGATTTCCAAGGAGCGGCTGGTGGGTTTGAACCACAAACCTGTGGTTAGTAGTCCAGTGCTTATCCTACAGCACTAGAAATTGGGCTGTCTTATTGTCAAGTGCACAGTGACTGGGCTATTTGTTGTTCAGTACTGTTGAGTTGGTTCCATCTCATAGAGACCCTGTATTTTGTTTCTGAGAAGTGGCTGGTGAGCTTGAGCCACTGACCTTGCAGTTCAAGCCCACCTTGCAGTCCAGTGCATTAACATGCACACCACTAAACACAAACACACACAGAGTATGTGTGTGTGTTTGAGTATAGAGAGAGATCTTTTGATTCAAAGAGGTTTGTTGTTGTTAAATGCTGTAGAGTCAGTTCTGACCCATAGCGACCTTCTCTAGAGGGTTTCCAAGGAGCAACTGGTGAGCTTGAACCATGAACCTTGCAGTTCAAACTGACTTTACAGTCTAGCACATTAACCCACATTGCCACACCAGGACTCCATCCCTTATCAGAGGGATAGGTGGAAGCCATTGAACAGGCTAGTGACAAGAGAGGGAAATAGATTTGCATTAATTAATGCAGTCATGGACAGAATGGTAGGTGATCTGATTTACCATCGTGGGTGTGGAATGATTTTTAAAAAACACCACCTGGCAGAATCCAGAGGATTTGGTCACTGGCTGTGGAAACAAGTGTGGAGCACTTCAGGGTAAGCTAAGCAGCACTGAACTGCTAACCGAAAGTTGCTCTTTAGGGAGAAAGATGGGGTTTTCTCCTCCCATAAAGATTTACCGCTCTGGGAACTATACAGGGTCTCTATGAGTTGGAGTCCACAGGATGGTAGTGAGAAGTGGTGTAATCAAGAAAAACACCCTCTAGTTGCTGGTATTCAGGCACCTTAGCAAATACTGAGGCAGGGAGCTCAAAAGCGGAGCATCCAGATGGTTGAGTCTGGTGGGAGGTGAAGATGCTGGATTTATTTTGGTACGCACGAGTTTGAGATTGTTTTCGGTCATCTGAGTGAATATACTCAGTCCTGGTTTCACTCCCATGAAGCCAGATGTTTACTAGATTCTGTTTAGCAAACATTTGGCTTCAAGGCAGTAAAAACAGGACTGAGGGAGGAGGGGCTGAACTCTAGCTTGTGTGAGTCATCCGATAAAACCAAAAACCTGTTGGCCCCTGAGTCCCACTCCCACTCGTAGTGACTCTATGAGACATAGTAGGACTGCCCCATAGGACATGCCACGCTTTCGTCTATACCAAAGCAGACTGTGGTTCAAACCACAGACCTTCATTTAGCCAAGTTAGCCATTATGTCACCAGGGCTCCCTGAGTCATCCCAGATTGTTGGTAATAAAAGCTGTTGGATAATATCAACCCCAGGAGCTAGTATGTAGTATAATTGGAGGCTTTAAGACAGAGCCCTGAGGAGAATCAACACTTAAGGCTAGATACAGGCCAGTGAGTTTTCTAAAGAAAATTGGGAAGGTGTGGCTCTTGTTGTTGTGTGCCGTGGAGTCGGTTCTGACTCATAGTGACCCTGTACAGGGTGTCTGAGGCTGTAAATCTTTACAGGAGCAGAAAGCCTCATTTTTCTCCCGCGGAACAGCTGGTAGTTTGGAGCTGCTGACCCTGAGGTTCACAGCCCTATTCGTAACCACCACGCTACCAGAGCTCCTTAAGGTGTGGCTAGAGAGGCCAAATTAATGGAGAATGGAGGGCTAAACAAACAGTGGTGACAGTGAGGACAAGGAAAAAGGGGGTTGAAAAGCACGGTGTAGCGCTATTGATTAATGCGCTGGACTGCAAAGTCATTTGAATTGCAAGGTTGGCGATTCAAGCTCACCAGTCACTCTTTAGAAACCCTATACAAGGTCGCTATGGGTCGGAATTGACTCGACGGCACTTAACAACAGTGACAAACTGGAGTCCTAGCATGGCAGTGTAGGATAAGCACTTGACTGCAAGGTCAGTTTGAAACACAAGGTCAGTAGTTCAAGCTCACCAGCCGCTCCTTGGAAACCCTTTACAAGGTTCTTATGGGTCAGAACCTATTCAAGGGCACTTACCAATAACTAGTCCTGGTATGACACTGCAGGATAAAATAATGCGCTGGATGGTAAGATCTGCTTGAACCATAAGGTCAGTGGTTCAAACCCACCAGCCATTCCTCAGAAAGTCTATACAAGGTCGCTCTCGGTCATAACCAACACAGCAGCACCTAACAACAACTGTAGGATGAGCACTGGATTGCTAACTTCAGGGTCAGCAGTTCAAACCCACCAGCTGCTCCTGAGGAGAAAGCTGTAGTTCTGCTCCCATAAAGACTTAACAGCCTCAGGAACCCAATACAGGGTTGCTGTAAGTTAGAATTGACTTGATGGACAGCAGTGGGTTTGGGTCAGGTGAAATAACTCAGGAAGTGAGCAGATTTAAAAGGAAAACTTGATAAACTTGGCTGATTGAGAAACACAAATCTAAGTTGACTCCAACGTGGTGTTGATGCCGGGCAGCTGGGAGAAGGTGATGCCCGGAAGAACTTCATCTCCTTGAATTTGAGGGGTTGGGTAAACTGAAGTTGTAGGATTCATTGGTATTAGGAGAAAAAGAGGCCTGGAGTCTTCCAAGGTGAAGTATCAGGTGAGAATTGAGATCCTGAAAGTCGGTGAATGTATTAAAGAGAGAATGAAAGGTGACTTCTTAAAGGAGGCATTGAGTCCAAACTTGAGCTGGAGACAAAACACCTGATTGGAAGGGTGTCTTTTTAATTATCCAGTGCTGCTAGAACAAAGACTATGCTTGGATGGCTTTAGCAGACAGAAGTTTCTTTTCTCACAGTTGAGGGTAGATGTCTGAACGCTGGGCACTGACTCTAGAGGAAGGCTTTCTCTTCCTGTTGGCTGGGGGCAAGGCCCTTGTCTCTAGCGTCTGTTTCCTGTTCCTTGGGGATCTCCTGGGCCTGGCATCTATCTTCTCCATCTCTGTTTGCTAGTTTCTCTACTTGCTCAAGCTGCTTTTTTTTTTTTTTTTTTTTATCTCAAAAGACATTGATTCTTTAAGAGATATACTCAATACAAATACTGCCTCATTAATACACGGTATTTTTACACACATAATGTGCTTTTTTTTTTTTTGGCAAACTGGGCAAACCCCTTGCATATTAGTTTCTTCAGCATTCTATATGTGTGATATTCATGTGCTTGTTATATGGGCACATCATATGCGACAAAAGTAACAAATGCATTCCCAGTTGGGATTATAACCACAGGTTTTAGGTGACCCCATTCTCCTAGTCCATCTGATTGGTGACCCCAGCCCCTCAGCCCTGCTAGGCACCGTTGGCCTGATCCTTGGGAGATCCCATTCTTTTGGCCTTTTGATATAGCAGTCCTGCCTCTTGAGCTTTGGGCAGTGGCCCTATTCCATCTTCACCCACATGACTGGCAGACCCACACTCCACAACTGAGTTGGTAGAGATCTGATTCCTTGAAACTTTGGAGGTTATGGCTTTGAATCCAAGTCAGCCTACTTCCAGTTTTTTTTCCAGCAGTTAAGATATCTGAGCTGCTCCAAGGTTGGTCCTTTTTTACTTCTTTGAGGACAGCAGATAGCTCACTTGACTTGTTTCTTGCCTGTAAGTCTTCCAAGAGTAAAACAACTTTCCTTCCTTTTTCCTTTGTTCCCTTCAGCTCTGGCAGTGTAGTGTTACAGGCTGCTAACTTCAAGTTCAGCAGTTTGAAACTACCAGCGGTTCTTTGGGAGAAAGATGAGGCTCTTTGCTCCGTAAAGAGGTTTTGTTTGTTTGTTTACGTTTTTATTGTCAATTGAGTGATAGTTTACATGGGAGAGCATCCGTTTTACACTCATCATTTCATTGTAATGATTATAATCTCCTCCATGCATCATCATTCAACAATATTTGCTTCTAGTCCCTCTCTGGGTGGGTTTTTTTTTTGGGGGGGGCAGGAGATGTACACAAAAACACTAAGGAACATATAATCATTTAAAAACAACCAAAGGGCACATTCTGCAAACCTGCCTCCTGGCCACCAGCACATAGCCTTTCTGTTTCCATGAGTCTAGAGTCCTTAGCTGCTCTATTTTTTCCATGCCCTCATCTCTGTCTCCATCTCTGGTGTCACTGCTTCTCTGGTGCTCCCGTAAAGATGTCAGCCTCAGAAACCCTATACAGGGTTGCTGTGAGTTGGAACGGACTCCACGACACATAACTACCACCACTCTTCAGTCTAAGCCAGTGGGTTTTCTTCTGTGTTCCTTGGTTAGACCCATTAGTCATAGGCTTAATCTCTTTAATAAAAGGTTGTGTAGCCACAGTCTTTGTGAAAATTCTAGAACATGTGTCCTTAAGTTTGTACAACAGAATTTCCCAAATTTGTGTATTTTCTTTTCATTTTGCACAGTTCATTTTGAAGTCTATCCCTTTCCTTTTGCATTTAACTCTCAGCAGCAAGGAGAAACCACATGACCCCTTTAAAATCCATGTTCCTTACATAGAAGTCCTACCTTCCACCAAACATTTGAACTGAATAAGACAAGTTCTTAGTCCACTGTGGTAAAAAGCATTGCCCTTCCTCCACTATCAAGTCACATGCTCATTTTCTATTCAAGTCTCACCAGAAACACATTTAGAGTCCACATGTATAGCAGTGCTCTGTTGATGATGCTGTGTGGGGTCGGTCTCTAAGATGACAGAAATTTTTTTCTCTGTGACTCTCTTCAATTCCTTCTGCGCTCTCACCAGAATTGCTTTTGACATCCATGACTCTACCGTCTCTTTCAGGCCACCTACACTTTTTCAATGTCAACCCACTGGCATTGAATCAACTTCAACTCTGGGTGACCCTGTAGGGGGTTTCTAAGGCTGTAAATATTGACAAGAACAGAATGCCTCGTCTTCTGCAGAGTGATTGGTGGATTTGAATTGCAACCTTGAGTTTAGCAGTTGTGTTTATCCTACAGTACCAACAGGGCTCCGTAGGTTTTTCCTGTTGGGCATCTTAAAACTTTTCCAACCTCCACCCATTACTCAATTCCAAAGCCTCTTCCACACTGTAGTACTCAGCACTCTGTCTGTTATCTCAGTTATCTGCTATAACAAATACTACAGATAGAAGGCTTGAACAAATGAACTTATTTCCAGACAGTTCAGGAGGCTGAATTCCAGGTGCTACTTGTAGAGGAAGACTTCCTCTGTTGGCTGTGGTAGAAGGTCCTTGTTTCTGCTCAACTTCTGTTTCCTGGCTCCTCAGAGAGCTCATGGGGCATGGAATCTTTCTTCTGCCTTCTCTTCTTAGTTGCTTGCCCAATCAGCTTTTTTAAAAAAGTAATGTATCTCAAGAGATTTATTTGACATACCTCACTAATACAACAAATATAAATAAATAATATAACACTGCCTAACTAATATAGCAAAGGACTCCTGGTGTGGCACCGTAGAATAAGCATTAGGGAAACCCTGTACAGGGTTGCTAGGAGTCGAAGTCAACTCCATGGCACGTTAACAACAATATAACAAAGAAAACCCACTCTCAAATGGGATTGTGACTATAGGGTTAGAGGTGAGGATTGCAATACATATTTGGGTGGTGGTGGTTGTCTAATGTGGAGTCAATTCAGATGCATAGTGACCCTGTATAGGGTTTCCAAGGCAGTAAATCTTGATGGGAGCAGAAAGCCTCATCTTGCTCCTACAGAGTGGCTGGTGGATTCAAACTGCTGACCTGTGGGTAATAGCCCAATGTGTAACCCGTTTGTTAAGTGCTGTCAAGTTGATTCCAACTCAGCCACCCTATATAGGGTTTCTGAGGAACAGCTAGCTGGTGAATTTGAGTTGCTAACTTTGTGGTTCACAGTCCAGTGCTGACCGTACAGCGCCACACCAAGAATCTGTGTAACACACCAGACCCCAGAGGCTGGTATGTTACACAGATTCTTGGTGGTGGTGGTGGTGTGTTTGAGGAGTCAAGTCTAACTCCTAGCGACCTTGGATAGGGTTTCTGAGGCTATAAATCTTTACAGGAGCAGTACCATGCTTGTTGTTAAGAGCCATTGAGTTGGTTCCGACCCATAGCAATCCTGTATAGGGTTTCTGAGGAGTAACTGGTGAGAGAGAACATAATTTAATCCATCACAGGAAAACTCAAAGAGCTATGATTTGGGTCCAGTAAGGTGGTTCTGGTTCCAGTATCTAGCTTATGGGGTGGATTATGGGGATCCTGGAAGGGTATCATCTGGGGTAGAGTGGCAGGAACCCTGCTTCCAAGATTATCTGCATTTGTAACGCAGAGGTTGTCAAAAGAAAATGCCAAGCGGGTATTCTTTCTGAAGCTGAGTTGTGGTTTCATATGTTTACTTTTCCCTAATAGGTATGAAGAAATTGATTTTGAAACTGGAATCCTGGAATCCAAAAGGGACCCAGTCCCATTGGAAGATGTCTACCCCATTCATATGATTTTAGAGGATAAAGATGGCATCCAGGGCTCCTGTCGTTATTTTAAGGAGAGGAAAAACATTACCAATGAAGTCAGGACGAAGTCTTTGCAGCCTCATTGTACGATGGTGGAAGCCTTTGGCAGGTAACAGATTTGCATCACGTAGAGTCTCATGGAAATTGTATTGCTTTGAAGTCAGGACTGTGGTCAGAGCATTAAGATCATGAAAACATGAAATTAAAATACTGAAGTATCCTACAAACTTTCTGAAACTCCTTTACTGCTTTCTCTCTTTTTTGTAACTTCCTACACTATGGGTAAACTTTTCTACAATGGAAATGTGATGAGTACCAGGGCAGAGGGTTCAAACTGACCAAATTTGCTTCACAGACATGCATTAGCCAAAACGATGTTTATTTTAGATTTCATTTCACTGCCAGTATTTACAAATCCCCATGTCTATCCTCTGTTGAAAAATCACAAGACTAACCACACAGAGACTGATTTTTTTTTTTTCCTGGCAACATAGAGCAGGATTCTGGTTTCTGCTCTGCAGCTTCATTCACATGTGCCACTTATCCTCTTCACCATGGTCTAGAAGATTCTGGATGCCATATCTCTGCCCACACAGCTCTCTGAACTTGATTCTCTCAGCGTTCCCTGCTGTTCACCATGCTTCAGCCTGAAGACACTGGGCTCATTTCTGTCTCAGGGCGGTTACACATGCTGTTCCTTCCACATTGTCTCTTCCTCCTCACCCAGGTTTCAGCTCCTCTCCACAATTAATGTCCCCCTCACTGGCCAGGCACCATCATATTATTCTTTAGTACCAAAAATAGTCTTAATATTTGCCTTAATCGATCTTTCCTCACGAGATAATGAATTCCTCAGGAAAGAGAGTATCCATCTTCTTCACGGGTCATATTTAGGGCCTAGAATGTACCTGACATAGAGTAGCAGTTGCTGTTCAGTGCTAAGTCGCTTTGAGTCATAGAAGCCCATACAGGGTTTCCAAGGCTGAGCATCTTTATGGGAGAGCCTCATCCTTCTCCTATGACATAGAATATTATTGTTAACTGCCGTTGAGTTGGCTCCGACTCAGAAATCCTGTCTAGGGTTTCTGAGGAGCAGACAGTGGGTTTGAACTGCCAAACTTGTGGTTCGAAGTCCAATGGTGATCCTGCAGCGCCACACCAGGACGAGAAATACACATCGATTGATTTGACTCCTTGTTGGGTTTGACCTATGTCATAGAATCTGAACTGCCTAGCACAGCGTTTGTATCTCCATCTCATAGTGACCCTGTGCACAACAGAATGAAGCGCTGCCCAGTCCTGTGCCATCCTCATAATTGTTACACTTGACCCCATTGCTGCTGCCACTGTGCCAATCCATCCCATCGGATGTCTTCCTTTTTGCTGACCCTCCACTTGATTCCACCTGATACTATGTCCTAAGTATGAGGGACGAAATCTGGCCATCCTGGCATCTAAGGAGCTTTCTGACTGATGACTGTACTTCTTCCAACACAGATTTCTATTCTTCTGGCAGTCCATGGTACTTTCGATATTCTCTAACACCATAACTCAAATGCATCACATGTATATGAGGTTATTGAAAGTTTAATGGCTTGGGTAAGGTGACACCTTTATCCCTGAATATTTTAAAGTGGTTTTGTGCAGCAGATTTGTCTAATGCAGTACATACTTTGATTTCTTGACTGTTGTTTCCATGAATGTTGATGGTCAAGCCCAGCAAAATGAAGTCTTTGACAGGTTGAATCTTCTTCCATTTATCTTCATGTTATTTATTGATCCAATGGTTGAGGATTTTTGTTTTTCTTTACATTGAGGTGCAACCCATACTGAACGCTTTGATCTTCATCACTAAGTACATTTAAGTCCTCTTGGCTTTCAGCAAGCAAAATTTTATCATCTGCATATCGCAGATTGTTAATGAGCCTTCCTCATGTCACATTTTTCTTCATATAACCCAGCTTGTCGAATTATTCACTTAGCATACAGATTGAATAACTGTGATGAAAGACTACAACCCTGGTGCACAGGTTTCCTAATTTTAAGCCATTCGGTGCTCCCTTGTTCTTTTCAAACAACTGCCTTTTGGTCGTACAGGTTCCTCGTGAGCACAATTAAGCCATTGGTCTTGAAAAATTCTATCAGTTCCATCTCCATCATTTCTATCACCGATGCTATATTTTTCAACTGTATCCCCCCTTTTTTTTCCAACCAGCAGTAATTATGAATACTTTTGATTGAATGTTTGATGAATTTCCGAATTAAGAAGTTGGTAGAATTCTTTAATTTCATCAGCGCTGGCGTTAGTGGTTGGTGCGTACATTTTAATAGTAGTGGTATTACCTGGCGTTAGTGGTTGGTGCGTACGCTTTAATAGTAGTGGTATTACCTGGTCTTAGGGGTTGGTGCGTACGCTTTAATAGTAGTGTATTACCTGGTCTTAGTGGTTGGTGCGTACGCTTTAATAGTAGTGGTATTACCTGGTCTTAGGGGTTGGTGCGTACGCTTTAATGGTAGTGGTATTACCTGGTCTTAGGGGTTGGTGCGTACGCTTTAATAGTAGTGGTATTACCTGGTCTTAGTGGTTGGTGCGTACGCTTTAATAGTAGTGGTATTACCTGGTCTTAGTGGTTGGTGCGTACGCTTTAATAGTAGTGGTATTACCTGGCGTTAGTGGTTGGTGCGTACGCTTTAATAGTAGTGGTATTACCTGGTCTTAGTTGTAGGCTTACGGTTATTGTTCTGTCACAGCGTCATACTTCAAGCTAGACGTTGAAATCTTCTTCTTGATGATGAATGTGATGTCATTCCTTTTGAGTTTGTCATACCCGGCATAGTAAACCATATGATTGT